TTCTTTTTCGGCCATGGCTGGGAATTATAAAACATATAAAACATTGGACCGAGAAAGCACAGGTCACCCTAACAGCAAAGATAAAGAGTCAGTGGGGGAAAAATAATCCTGATTCTGTGCGTCCCTTCCTCCCCAAAACCTTGGAGCTCTCTTTTTGAGTCCCTCAAACGCGAATATTCAGGTTTGGGCTAATTAAGCCACCCTCTCACCTCCACTAGCACCAGCAGAAGACAAAACCCTACCTGCCTTCTTTCTTAAATTTTTTTTTTTTATTCCCCCTCTAAATGAACATTCCAAATAGATGCTCGTCCCATCTCTCTCCTCCTCCCCTCTCCGCTGCTGCCAGTACTTTTAATTTTCATTTTTTATGTTATTTTTTTTTTTTAAAGCCAGGATAATTTACCCAGGCGGAGGAAAAGAGATGTCAGGTATAACCCGGGGGGAAAGGGCCGTGCTGAACCCTCTATTTGATGCCGGGGGGGGTTGTGGGTTCATCCAGGGCCCGGATAATGAACTCGCGGAGTTTCCGCTCAGGGGGGGCGCGCGTGTCTAGCGTGGAGCAACGCCGCCACCTCGCGGCCACGCGCGGAACTGCAGGAGAGCCCTGGGAAAACCGAGGGAAGGGGGAGAAAAACCCGGGGGGGAAAAAACCCGCTCGGACCTGGGGAGATAAAAAAGAGAGGAAAAAAAAAAAAAGAGGGGAAAAAAAACCCCAATGAGTTTTTTTTTTTTGTCCTCCTCGCAGTGCTGGTTTTTGTTTGGTGTTTTTTTGTTTTTTGTTTTTTTTTTTTTTAAAGCTTCACCATCGCGGCAATAAAAGAGGCAAAGTGGGTTTGCTTTTGAAAACCGCTATTGTTTCAAATTCCGAGACTAAACAATTGGTCATTCTGCTGCCGAGGGGGTCGGGGAGGGAGGGGGGGGAAGGCCAGGGCTGTAAACTCATAAAGAGCTTCCCCAGCCCAGACGTCTCGCCAGAACTTCGAGTGTGTGAGTGTGGGGGCTGCCTGTGCTGCTGGTGGTGTGTGCGTGCCTTGGAATTCTGGCGGCCTGGAATTGCTTTAAAGGGAGAAAAAAGAAAAAAAAAAAAAGGAGGGGGGGGTAAAAAGAAGAAGAAAAAAAAAAAAAAAAAAAAAAAAAAAAAAAAAAAAAAAAAAAAAAAAAAAAAAAAAAAAAAAAAAAAAAGAAAAAAAAAAGAAGAAGAAGAAAATAAAAAGAACAAAGGGAATCATCCAGAGCGCTGGATTTTCACGGCATCTGCAGGAGAAGAATAAATTAACAAAAGTCCCTCCCCACCTTTTCTCTTCCCCCCCGCACCTTATTTTTTAACTACCGCTTCCCTTAGGGAAAATAAAGAAAAAATAAAAAAAAGAAAAAGTAAAGAAAGAAACAGAGGAGAACTTTGTGACTGAAACAGAAGCAAAAGCATTTACACGTTGGGTTTCCCCACATTCCTAAGTCGTTGGAGTAATTTAGGAGTTCCTGAAAGTTTTCTTGCACTGTTTCCTTTACAGCCGTTTAGTTCCTTAACCTTCAGAAATTTATACCCTATAAAGTTTTATAGCGGTCATATTCTTTTATTGCAGCACACTGCACTGAATTTTCCTTTTTTTATGACAAGTTACTTCCCTTTCTCTCTCTTCCCTCTGTAAGCTCCAAATATCTCTCTTCTTCTTTTGTTTTCTTTTCAGAACTGCCCCAAAGAAAGGGTTTTTTTTTAAAAAAAAAAAGTGAAATATTGCCCTTTAGAGCACCCATTATGTTAAAAATTAGTGGAAAGAGATCCTTGGTTATATTTCTCACTACCTGCTTCCTGCAGGGCTGAGCAGGTCTTAGGATTTGTTTGGTTTTGGTTTGTTTTTTTTTTTTTTTTTTTCTTAATATAGAGATAGAAACACTTTCCAAGCACTTGTATTTCTTCATGAGCAATAAAACGTCAAACGAATTTAGAGACGGAATTATAAGAATTGCTGGTTGAGCCCTTGGAAAAAGGAACCGCGTGTCAAATCCGAGGTGAAGCCAAGAAGGGAAAGCGGGGTGGGGTTTCCCACTGTTTGTTTTGGGTTTCTAATTTTCCTTGAGCGAAGTTTTTTTCCTTGGGCGAAAGGGGAAATAAAGCAAAGGAAGCAAATCCTTTCACCCCTCCCCGTCCCCTAAGGCTGATGAGGGAAGGCGAGGATTAAACCCTCAAAACCAAACAGATAAACAAGCAAACAAACAATCGACCGCCGAGCCACGTAATCGGAGAGTCACCATCTCCGATTTCACAATGCAAAAATAATTAGAATAAAAGACTTGGGAAAGCGGCAAGTTTGTGTGGGACCCGGGAAACACTTGCTACTCCAGAGTGGAATTACTTCCATTTCCTCTGGGCTTTTTTTTTTTTTTTTAAACCTAAGCAAAAAAGAATTCTTGGCATACACTTTAACGAGCAGGAAAAGACAATGAAAACATTTCTGAGATTTTTGGATGAAGCAGTATAACACAATGACATATAGGTGTTGTTGTTCTAAAATCGATTTTTATTCTGGAGCATTAAACATCTCTGGAAAATACATCCGGGCTGATGCTACAGAAAACATTTTTTCCAACTTTTTTTTTTTTTTTTTAAGTGAGCATATTTCCTAATAAAATGAACTAACATTTTAAATTCTATTTAAAAACAACCTTATATTGTCATCTTAAAAATATCCGCTCTTTACCACAATTCTAAGGAAAGTCAAAAACATTTCTAACTCCTGGTGGCCGATGGGTTGCAAACATCAATTAACTCACGGAAACACTTCTGGAAAATATAGCAATGAGGATTTAGGCAAGTCCATACTCAGCACGAGACACGAGGAATAAACCAGCTCAGCACGGAGCAGATTTGGAATTCATCCATCCTAGGGAAGAACCAAACAAAACTAGATTTTTTTTTTTTCCCAGCATAAACGCGGTTGAAAGGGTTTTTTTTTTTTTTTTGACCCACTGCCTCTTTCTCTTTTATTTCTTTCTTTTAGTGAATCCCGTTTCAGGGAAAGGATCCTGCTGCCACCAACTCCGCAGCTCAAAATGCCTCCCAAACAGCTTTCCTTTAATTCACTTTCGGGATGCAGAGTGAAGTTTGGTTACCCTGAACTCCCTCCGGCGAGAGAACAGTTAAATTTGGGAGCCCCCAAGGAGCCACTTCACCCTGGAAAGTTTTACACGAGAAAGTCCAGGCATTAAAAAACCAACAACAAACCACCAAAACCCGACCAATTTTCTGAGGAATGGTCTCAAATGCCTCAACTCTGGTTTCTTGTCGAGGGAAAGGGTTTTTTATTTTTTTTTTTATCCCGTGAAGAGGATTTGAAGTGGTGGAAATTTCAGAGGCGCAGCTACTTGGTTCTTATCTCTGAGTCGTGGCGGGAGGGGGGGGGAAAGCAGGAACACTTCCCAAAAACTCCAATCTGCCTATCGCTTCTTCCAGAGCAACCTCTGCCGAGCAGATAAAAGTGGTCTCACCAAACCTGACTCTAAGGGTACACGAGTCACTCCTGTACACAGATTTGCGCTGGTTCCTTCAGATACAGGGCAGAAAAAATGTCTTTTCTCTATTTCCCCCCCACACGTTCCCTCTTAAAACAAACCACCTTCCACTCGCCTTGTTCCTAGAAAGCCTCCTGGCAGCTAAATATACAAAGTTTGCACACGAAGAAAACGAGCGAGGTTTATTTCGATATTTTCCATCCACTATCGACGGCAGAACTCTGCGCATACTTCAAAAGCCACAGCAGAAACAGAAAACTCCAACGTTCACAGAAACACAGCCACGAACACAGTTTACAATACCCACCATATAATCGACTGGAACTAACCCCCCCAACCCGGCCCTCCCTCCCACCCTCCTCCCTTCCCAAAACAAAGTTAAGTCTTACAGAGATAAAGGGGAACCAGTCCCACCCGCGCGGGATGGAGGAACCTCCAGCGGATCTGTCAGATGGGAGAGCAGCTCCGGCCGGCAGGACACGAGACCGCTGAGCTCCACATTTGGGACTCTCCGGGGCGAGGATGGGGATTAGGAAGCCAGAGGAGCCCCCGGTGCCACCCGTGGGACGAGGTCCCTTCCTCGGGGAGGCCCTGGAGGTGGCACCGGGGCCCGGAGACGAGCGGGTGGCAGAGGGAAAACGCTCCGGGAGCTCTCAGGGCTTCAGAAAAACCCACCCCAACCCCACCCCACCAAAACCCCACCGACATTCAAGTATTAAAAGCGACTCAGCAAACGGGAGGGGGGAAGGAATACACACAGGCTGGGGTTGGCACTTTATCTCTGCAACAGCCTACTGCTTTAGGAAAAGTCAATTCACAATAAATTATAAATATCTAGCGCTAAGAACACAACCTTCCCCTCCCTGATAGCTCCACTAAGGTAGTTTTTTTTAACTAGAAAATCCCATTCTTCCTCTTCTCTAAAAGTTAGGAATAAGTTGGCAGGGGTTCTTCCGCCCCTTTTTCTCCTAAATAATTTACAATGCGGCTCTGAGAGTGCCCCCCACACACTCTCTCTCGCCTCCCTCCCCGTCTTTTCTCTTCTTCCAAGTGACCCAGTATAAAACTACCAGATGAGGAGGTTTGCCTGGAAAGATCCTACTAAACTGTCAGGTCAAAGTCACATTTCTGCCACAGCACGATTCAAATCAAAATTCCGCAGAATAAAACAAGCTACAAAAGTAAAATAACGGGGAAAGGGGGGGGGGGGAGGGCTTAGGAAGGGGGGAAACCCCAGTTGGGAGCTGGGCTGTCATTAACCGACTACCCCGGAATAAAGTTGGCGAATTGAAAATGATTTGTTGGGTGCAATTAAAGGCGAGTCTTACGAATGTGTCTGCCTTGCAGTAGTTTAATTAAATCGTCTGGTTGCTTGGCCACCTCAAGGCGTGAGTGTGAGTGAGTGTGAGCGCCTGTGAGTGCGGGTGAGCGTGTGGTCTGTAGGGAATCATTGTCCTGCTTTGCTGGGGGCTCGGGCCGGGGTGGGTTTGGGGTTTGGTTTTATTGTGGCCAGTCGTGTTTGTTGTCTTGCTTTCCACGGAGAAAAAGTGAGCAGGGAAAGCTGCAGCTCCAACAGGAGCCTGTGCTGTGTTCAACACCGCAGGGAGAAGAAAAGAGAGAAATGGGGCGGGGGGGGAGGAAAGAGAAAAAGAAAACAAGGAAAGAGAAACAAAACCCAGCGTGTGTCCCCAAAAAGGAGCTGCAGTTTTGGCTGAGTTGCCTCCTAAGTGGTAACGTTAAGAAGATTCAAAAAAAAAAAAAAAAAAAAAGAAAAAAGAATAATAAGCAACATCTCGCATGCAAAGGTGGAGATGGGAAATGGGAGAGGGGGGGTGTTCTCCCTCGTTTCGGGGGGATTTGGCAGCACTACAGGGGGGTTGCACTGCTGCAGAACCCGAGAGAGGGGCACAGGGGTTGGAGGGGTGCTGCTTTGCTGCTTTTTCATTCCTTGCCCTGCTCCTTGTTCATTTTCTTCATTTTCATCCTTCGGTTCTGAAACCAGATTTTGACTTGTCTCTCACTCAGGTTGAGGAGTCTGGCCACTTCGTGTCTACGGTCCCTCGTCAGGTACATATTGAACAAAAACTCCTTCTCTAGTTCCAGGGTCTGGTATTTGGTGTAGGGGCAGCGTTTTTTCCGGGAGGAGCGGGCGTGCAGCCAGCTGGCGGCTGGGTTGGCTGAAAGAGAAGCAGCAAGATCAATACGGTGCAGCCCCCGAGTGTTCCCTCACGAGGGTTTCATCACGCCATCAGATATTAAGATTATCCACGCGCATATGC